AGCCGTAGTTCACTGACAAGTTACGCAAAAAAAATCGCAGACGATTTTATTGCACGATTATGAAATTGAAAAAATCATTCGCGATAATGACAGCTGTTTGCATAGCTTCTCAGTGAACTACGGCTCTGTGAAGATAATGCTGCTCCATCTGAAAGCATGTGAAAATACCACATTTAATAACATATTTTTACTCCAAACTCACTTCATAACGTCAGTCGAGTGTTTGAAATAAATCCTTCTGTGAGATGATGTGGCTTCTTACACAGAATAAGGCACGCAACATATGTCATAGTATTTAAGCAGTGATAAAGGCATTGCATTATAAATATACTTCATTTTAATGAAAATTATAATAAGAACTCAGATAAACCGTATATTGCCGTAGTCGTGTGTTTATTAGTCACGTTGAATCAATGAAAGCAGCTGAATCTTCTGTTTATTCAGCTGCAGCAATAGGCATTTTCTGGGTTTCTTCTGCGAGGCGTATTTGGAGTTTCAGCGCGAGAGCGCCCTCTGGCCTTTGGATGGAGATTTACTGCAGATCACAGAACCGTGCTTCACTGAAAGATACGCATAACAATCGCAGCTTCTGTCGAATCGCGATCTCGATTCCATTTCGATTTATCGTGCAGCCCTACTGTAGCCATATTAAAAAGTGTCACCCGCTCTAGAGCCTTACAACCCCTGGCACAAATATCTAATAGCTGAGCACTGTGTTGACAAACCATTACTCTCAGAGAGGATGGGAGGTGACAGGCATACAACAGTGAGCTAATGATCTTTACAGGGAGGCCGGTGTTATTGAGTTGTTAAGAGCTGTGTGGGAGAGCTCGGGTACGATACTGCCCTTTGTCCTGAGTCCTGACCCCTGCACTCGATATTCTAAATAAAAAAAACTAATTAGGCTTGGTTACAGTACACTTCTGTTGAGTTTGAGATATCTTGAATGACACAGTGTTGCTTGATACCTTTCTCACATCCATTTGATGGCTTCAGATCATATATTTATATGTTATATGAACACCAGGTGGTCAATTTTAATAATGCCAACTTGATCAAAATGACTCCGTTACGTTCTTAGTCTCTCTCAATGTAATCAGATGGATTTTTATGACCGTTAGCAGTCCTTGGCATTCTCATTAGCTTTTGGCAATGCAAAAAAATTCCCAAATTTTATTGTCTGGCATCCTATCAATCGAATTATATACATATAAACCTATTTTGGAAATATCTGCTACCTCAACCTGGGAAAAGCTATTGAAAACTATCGTTAAACATTTTTCAAGAGATATGAATAGCTCATTGATTTTATGCTTCGGCAAATGTGTGTACTAGTGTTTGTCTCCGTGTATGAATAGATGTTTATGTGCTAGGATGGGAATTTTTGAATATCGTGTGTAGCCATAGCAGATGTGCAGAGTGTCTGGCGTCCAGATGGGCATCTATTAAGAGGAAAGAACCCAAAGCACACCACAGGAATCAAAGCAGCTCCATTACTATAAACATCACTAAAGTATCTACAGATTCATTTCAGAGCTACCTCAAACACCGAAAGAAAAACAACTCTTTATGGAGACAATGACTGACTCTAATAGAGTCTCAAACATAAGAAACTATGTAAAAGGTTGCTAATGGTGTCATCCATGTTAGATTGCTATATCTGAGTGAAAGAAACTAGAGCTCAACTTTGTTTCTATGGTTGCCACAACAAAACTATATTATATAAAGTTTGGGATCAGTACGATTTGTAATATTTTTAAACGAAGTTTCTTCTGCTCATCAAGGCTGCATTTATTTGATCAAAAATACAGAAAAAAACAGTAATATTGTGAAATATTATTACAATTTTAAAAAAAATGGTTTTAATATACTTTCAACTTTACTATTTTAATATACTTATATTTCTCTTGATTCTCTTGCCACATGATCCTTCAAAAATCGTTCTAATATGCTGCTTTATTATCAATGTTGGACACAGTTGGGCTGCTTAATATTTTTTGGAACCTGTGATACTTTTTTCAGGATTCTTTGATGAATAAAAAGTTAAAAAGAACATAATTTATTCGAATATAAGTCTTCAATATAAGTCTTTACTTTTACTATTTAACACATTATTTCTGAATAAAAGTATTAAAAAAAAAAAAAAAAAAAGAAAGAAAAAAATTTACTGACCCCAAACAGTAGACTAGAGTATATTGTTACAAAAGATTTCTATTTTTAATAAATCCTATTCTTTTAAACATTCTATTTATCAAAGAACCCTGAAATGTATCCACAAAAATACTGAGCAGCACATATGCTTTTAACAATGATAAGATAAGAAATATTTAAACATCAAATCAGCATATTAGAATGTTTTCTGAAGGATCATGTGACATTGAAGACTGGAGTAATGATGCTGAAAATTCAGCTTTGACATCTCAGGAATAAATTACATTTTGAAATACACTGAAATAGAAAACAGTTATAATAAATTTTTATATTTCACAATATTATTTTTACTGTATTTTAAACCAAATAAATGGAGCAAATGACTTTCAGAAGCATTAAAAAAAATCTAACTGGCCCAAAACTTTAGACTTTTGAATGATAGTGTGTATATATTTCCACATAAATAAATAAACACTTACACTCTGGGTAATTGTCTCAGTTGGGCCAGCCCCTCTGTCTATGTCAACAAGACTGAGTCGGTGGAATTCAAGAACGTGTGACGAGCCTTTTGCCTCCAACCCCCCTTAGGGTTTATGTTGAACTCACACTAGGCCAACATACAGGAAAACATCCTTTAAAAAATGCCCTTACTATCTAGGAAAAGCCTTTACTATGTAAACAAACAACACGTCAGTTTTATTGGTTGTACGTGACTGACATAAACAAGAACATGCTATACTGTATAGGTTTATTGTCTATAAAACTAGTAAATTTACTTCTTGTTTGGAATGGATTTGTCTTAAAACTTATCCACAAGCATGCAGGCCTCACAAAAGCAGACACAGCAGGCCCATCATGTTTTGAAGCCACCATATTGTCACAAATAGGGAAGGTATTAAATAACAGCAGGTGTCTGTCTGTCTTGTGTTCCACCTGAACTAGATACTGATGACAAACCAGACACCACAAAGTCAAGAAGACAAGACTCAACATGCCCTGCTGTACACCTTATCACAGCGCATCAAAGATGTGAACGTGAGACATATACCTGCATTTCTGAGAACATCTCCCTTCAAAGAACAATCAGATCATTCTGCATCAGGTAACATGAGAACTCTTGAGGAAACATTTTAGGAAACCACTTTGAGGTCAGTTAAAGTATGTCCACACGAGTGACATAAATTGGGAAAGACAAATGTCTCCATTGTTTCTTCAGGAAAGAAATTACATTAAAAGGAGACTTTTGTTGACATATTCTGTGAATTAAAACATGTCTCCTCTATAGTTTCAAAGATATCAAAATTTTTTTTGAAATTGTGCTCAGATTAGCCAAAAAGTCATCTGCCACGAAAAGCAATATGAACTCAATTAATTCTTATTAAATTCTTTCAAAACCAAATTATCTCAGCTCTGGAATCACAAATGAGATCTCTTTAACATCTCAACTGTTCCTCCTAGAAAGCAATGTGATTAAATGGAGAGTGAATTGAATTTTCCTAAAATATTCTGCTCCACAAACTTCTTTCCTACAAAAAAGACCACGCAATTTCACATTTCCTCTAGAGTTTCAAAAGAAATCTCAGAAACTTACAAACTGTGCTCAGATTAGCCAAAATACCAAAGTCTGCGATCAAAAGTCTGAGATTTTCAGTATGAACTCAACATTTCTTACTAAAAACTTCAAAGACCAAATAAATGAGCCATGGAATCAATATCTCTAAATTTAGAAAAGAGACCTCTTTAACATCTAGGTAGCAACAAGATTAAGAGGAAACAGAATTTTGCTGAGATATTCTGCATTTCATATTTGTTTCTTTTGTAATCTCACATCTCTTCTAGAGTTTCAAAAGGGATCTCAAAAAGAATTTCAAACTGTGTTCAGATTAGGCAATATATCAAATACTACAATCAAATGTCTTAGATTTCAATATGAACTCAAATATTTCTCATCCAATTATTCCAAAACCAAATTATCTGAGCTATTAACTCTTACTGTGTGTTAATAATTTTCTCATTAATTTTCCCCATGTGTCTATTTTTATCTCTCCTAAGGAATTTTATGAGAGACACCTCAGCTGATGATACTTAAATAAAACATAACTCAAAACATAAAGCCTCATACAGTTTTTCTCTTAGATGAAATGTACAATTACAGGTAAAAAGAAAGAAAAAAAGGTGTTATGTTTATGAATATGTTAAGTGAGGGCAGCCCTTCAAGAGACTGAATGGTCTGTGAGGGTCTTAATCCCTGTGCAGACCCCCTCAGGTAAACTCTCACTGATGAACACAAAGCAAAGGGGAGGAGTTAAAATGTCAAATGCCATTTACCTGAACGATCGACCGTTGTCTTCCACTGAAAACAACACCCGGAGGTGTGACGGCGACAAATAGAGATTCCTAACTATGTACATGTTCTTTTCTGCCTCAATATAATACAACATAAATAATGTGCTATGAAGAACTATTTAAACCACATAGAGTTATGAGTCAAACGAAAGTTCAAGGTCAAGCTAGTCATTGTTACGTGCAACTAGGTTCATTAGTTTCTGAATCAGTCACAGAAATCCCTTGCGTGTAAAATATGAGACCTGACACTATCTGATCCATAGTATGAGATTGTTTCCAACTGCTTAATTGAAACAAATTGTGACATAAACCAAAGAAAGGGCTAGTAAATTAAGGTGTATAATATAAAAGGACTGGGATTGTCTTTATGCTTCCAAAACTGATTAAAGTTATCAGACACTACCCAAATACACACTATTGAAACACACACACAAACACACCGACTCTAACTCATAAAATCTTATGTAGCCTAACTAATGCCATGTTGTTCCACAGTGTCGTACCTGCCGCTATCCTGTTAAGCAGCTGCTGGCGGGCAATGATCCTGCCCAGCCTGTACCCGGAGCGCCGTCTGAGGTGGTCCATCCTCAGGTAGATATCCTGCGTCTCTGGGGTCATATTTCCCAGGCATTCGCTGCTCTCGGTGCGCGGCAGCTCCCTGTACATGATCACACAACGTAAAACGTCCGGCACCCCCCTCCCCAAAAACAAATACCTGAAACAGTCACGTAATCTGTCCACCAACAGCCCAACATGTGTGAGATGTGAGTCCATAGAGTTCCAGTTCCAGAGGAGTACCAGCTGTCAGCCCTGCCCCCTTTTTGAGTCACATGACTAGAGGTGAGCCAATGAGAAACCAGGATGAAGAGGGCAGGCCTCGTGGCTGAGCTGAATTCAAGGTTGCGAGCGCTGCTCGGTTCAGGAGGGAAATATAAATACCAGAGGAATGCCTGTGAACTGAGCGAGTGGAGAAAGCTGGAGAGCAGGGGGCCGTGGGAGGGGAAAAAGAAAAACAGCGTGGCTAAGAGAAACACCCAGACCAAAAAGAACAAGCCTGCTGCTGTGAAGCCCCACTCAAGTGCCAAGTTTGCAAAGGAGGAGTTTGTTAGTTGGGAAAAGAGAAATGAAGAGTGGCAGGAAAAGAGAAAAGTTTGGTCTTATAGACTATTAACTTAATTCAAATGCTTTTAGACAAAAAAAATATGTAGTCACACAATCCATTAAGACAATACAAACAGAAAACAGACCTAGAAGTGACTGTGTATGTAAGAAAAAAAGAATAACAAAAGGTGTCTTGTTGGTAAACTCAATCCCCAACCCCCTATTTGCTCTGAGCACAGTGGGGCTTCACCTTGTTAAACAGCCATTCATGCTAAAATGGCCATTTCACACATTAAAATAGGTTGTACAGGAAACGTCTGAACTGTAGGTGAAACACAAGAATCTTTATTTATGCTGAAATAATGTGCATTTATCACTTGACCTTAATTTCCTGACAGGTGTCAATAAACTAAACTAAACTAAACTATACACTCTAAAAAATGCTGGGTTAAATACAACCCAGTGCTGGGTAAAATAGGTTGGGTTACTACCCAGAAGGTTGGGTTAAACATTTAACCCAACCGCTGGGTCAAAACAGCCCAATTGCTGGGTTTGTCCCTATTTTACCCAGCGCTGGGTTGTATTTAACCCAGCATTTTTTAGAGTGTACTATGTGTCATTATGTCTCTGCTTTAATTATCTCTTAGCTCCACTTACATTACTAAAAATATAAAAAAATAAAATAAAAAAGATTAATTTAAATAATAATAATAATACTTTAATATATTATACTATTATATGACAATTACTTATTATTTTAATTGTAGTACTAGTAGAAAAATGTAATTATTCATTTCAGTAATATCACAAAAGAAAAAAAGAAAAATCAGTTGTAAAAGTCAATCATGGGCTACTGGTCGAATGCTGTCTGCAACTGATACTTCATAAATGCTGATACTTCAGTGAAACACAAATGAGTTCTACATGAGCAAAAGAAACTTTGCACAATACCAATTTCCTATGTAGTTGCTTTACAAGTACCAATGAAGTAGATAACATTCTAAATCGCACACTTGCCATCTGTTAAGTATGTCACGTGAACATGAATGTACTTGGATAACTAAAATATGTTTGGTAAATGTAATTTACCAATTAATGTAATTAATGTAACTGTAAAAACATATACACATATATATATATATATATATATATATAGAGAGAGAGAGAGAGAGAGAGAGAGAGAGACACACCACAGTTTAGTTATGCTAAAGCACATTAAATTAGAATTTGTGCAAATGAAAAAAAAGAAAGAAAATAAAAATTATTTTACAAGGAAAAAAAAGGAAATGAATGGAAGGTTTGCAAGAGCGTCTGTTCCATTGCTGCATGGAACAACCCAAGTGAAAATAGACCCCACATCTTTGCAAAGAGTTCCACCCTCTGTTTACTAAACTCCATCACTCTTAAGGCACTGGTGAACGAGCACACATTTCCTGTTAGCATGTGTTATAAGCCTCTCACTTGTGTGAGCGAGCACATAAACACATGAACCGGGTACGAATGGGCACGACACCAAGTTAAACACATTCTGTGCCCCCTCCCTAACTGGCACATACTAAACATATTAGAAACCACACAAAGACCGCAATTCAACCAGCGCCTGCAATCTTGCTGCTATTTATACACAAACTACCCCATCCCTCACTCCAACGCCCCTCACCACAGGAAAGTTTTCATGTTTTCGACTCTGTAACAGTTTTTAAGATGTCCTGTGCAGTTTGTGTCGCTACATTAAAAATGATCTCATTTGTTGACCCAAAGCTTGAGCTTATAAACAAGGTACAGTGCATGCTCTAGCAATCCCATAATGCACAAAAGTGCTCTGTTAAATACAGGTGTAACTTGAGTGACTGACAGACCCTAATGAATGCTGTGATTTGTTTTCCACACAGACCGCTTAAAGAGTTGATTAATGTTATGCTGAATGGGATTTTAAATATGATATATGTGTGTGTTTGTTTGTGTGTGTGTGTGTGTGTGTGTGCATATACTGTGTATATAGGGGTTTTCAAGCATCAAAACAAAAGTTTCTGAGAAGAAATTATGACTATCTTGCATTTTTACCATTATTTACATTAGACACCCATTAAAATGTCATTCAGTGAAACAATAGATCACAAACCCAAAAAAAAATACAATCCTGACATATTTACAACAAGAATTATTAGATGACATTAAAAGACTCATTTGTCAACATTCTCAACAATATGTTTTTAATCATTTAATATATAATAAAATTTAGTATAATCACTTTTTCTTTTATATATTTTAATAAGCACAGGTCTTAATAACTGTTGTTATATTTGTACATAAATATATCTGTTACACTGATGATGGAACATTATTTCACCCATATTTTGACATTTTACTTTCACAAAAGTTATTTGAAACATTAAATTAGATACTTCATTCAATCTAATAGGCTTTCATATATTTAAAAAATCAGTTTTGTGCATTTGAATTGATGCAGACACCAAAACGGGACATCTTTGATATATATAAATACAGCATAAAAATGAACAAAATAAAATATTGTTCAACAGCATTAATAAAAAATAATAAATGGACTTCATAACAATAAATTTACTCAACACGAGTGAAAAACAGGCTGACATACAATGATATTCCATGGAAGAGTATAAATGATTAACGACTAATTGCTGTTTAATAATCCTTCAGTCAACAAAAGCCTACTCCAGTTCTGGCACAGGTTTGGTTATTTGAAGGAAATGAGTGGTAATAAGTGTACTATGCACTTTACTGACCCAATTTTACAGCACAATGAGTCAGACTGACAAAGAAAAACAGCTATTATCTCATACCATATCATAATTTCAGTCACTTTAATTGGGCTATATAGACATATGATGGTATCTCCAATGGCTGTACATGGAAATGGCTCACAAGTGCTCTCTGATGAAGCACTCTGGAATAAAATGAAATAAAACTTTCGACAAACCATTCAACAAAGCTACCGCTAGTAGAAAATAGTTAAGGCAAGTCAAATCAATTATCAGATGCTTATTTCAACATAGCAAGAACAATGACAGGTTTTTGTGAACACTACGCCCCCGCGCCTCATTTGAGTGATACAAAATCTTGCCTTTATTAACTATTGACGGAGATTGCTTTGTAGATTAGCCACTTCTAACACATTTTTAGCTTTATGTAGGAGAAGTGGTGTTATTGAAAACAGATCAAACATCTTTGTCATGCAGAACTAAGTGCTTTTCCAGATTTAGCTCAATATTCAGAGCCAAACCTGCCATTGCCAAGTCTCTCATCATCTCTATACTGGAGCCAAAGATGAATGTCTGACAGCTCTCAAAATAAATGTATGCAAAAGTGGAGGAGAGAACAGACCCTGCTCACCACTCGCCAAAGAATGCATATTCCACATGCTCTTGTCTATCTCTCTTTCTTCCTCTCTCTCTCATTTGAAGGGACACCTGGGAAATGGTTGCCACAATGGCTTGGGCTTATTAGGCCTACTATCAATTCTAATATTAATACAATTTTGAAAAATAATATTAACGTAACAATTAGAATAATAACTTGAATGCAAACCTATTTTCAGATGTTGAGTTTTAAGTATTAAAGATTTCTAATGGTATACTGGCAATCAGAATGCTCTTACCTTGCATTATCTTAAAAGATATAAAATAACAACAACAAAAAAAAGTTAATAAAAAAGAGATCAATTAAATATAAAAGAATAAAAAAATTAATTCAATACAAGGGTAATAAGAAAAGGATAAATGAATGAATTAATAAGTAAATGAAAAAGAAAGAAAGGAAATAAAAATATAAAGATAAATAAATGTAATAAAAATGTAATAAAATAACAAATAAATGAATAATTAATGAATGAATAAGAAGAAAAGAAGAAAAAAAGAAGAAAGAAAGAAAGAAAGAAAGAAAGAAAGAAAGAAAATACACAAAGGGGATAAAAAAGGTCAAATAAAAATAAATAATTTAATAAATAAATAAATGATACACAACTGGGAAGAAAATAATTTAAAAGATTTAAACATAAATGAATTAACAGCTAAGCAAATGAAGTTCAATTAAATAAATAAATAAATGCATAAAACAAGACATCTTGAGAGGCATAGTTGTTGGCTCTGATGGCATCAAAATAAGCCACTGCTCCATATAAAACCTGTCTCAGCACGTTTGAACTCAATGGCAACAGCATAAACCTCAGATCTTTGAAGAGCGCAGTAGAGGCTTTTTGGGATGTTATACAGACAGCACTACTTCACAGTCATCTTGGTACTTCATTTGTGTATTTTTCCACTAGCTGAGGAGGAAGCCACAAGCAACTGCCAAGAAAATGTAACTGTATTTGTACACCTTCATGAATTAATAGCTACATTTTGATGGAAACAAAAATAAACAGTTTTGTGGCTTCCATAATCAGGTCAGATGAGGATTAGCCACAAGAGAGACCAGTCAGAATGACAGCTGATTCCTAATAAAACGTGCTGGCTGAGAAACTCCAGCCTGGGATGCTGACTCCACAACTCAGACGTACAGAGAGCGAAGATATCAACACAGCCAGTGGAAAGAAAAGTTATCGGCATAATATTTACTCTGTGGGTTTCTGGGAAGGGCCGCTGAATGTGGGCAGGAGCCAGATAAAACCAGCAGGTGCTTACGATTCGCTCCAGCAGGGAGAGACGGCAGACAGCAAAATGTTTCTGCTGTCTCTTCTGAATTCTGCTTTGATTGAATCGCTCATTGAAAATGTCAAAGCCGCATCACATTTATGAGTTTTCTCTGCTTTGAGGAATCTGTTCCTTTGTTTGAGCGTAACTTTATAAGGCAACACCGACTGGATTGTGTGCAAAACGAGCTAAATGTTGTTGTAA